TCAGGATTGGCTGGTGTGATTAAGTATGCAAACAATGCATACCAGTGGTCACAGTAGGTCACTTCTGAGAGTACACTATAACAACCGAAGTTGCTGATTTGTAAGCTCCCTCCTTAGTTCCTGATCTCTCTTGATTGACATGCTCAGAGGAAACACATTTGATCTCTTGTCAGAAGCCTTCTATAGATGTCAAATGGCTAGGGGTTATTAGCCTCAGGCCAGCATCCAAAAAGGTATTCCACCATCTAGTAATCTTGATGGAAGACCTCTAAAATGATATAGGAGGTATAGATGCAACTCTGAAACTTTCTTGATATCCAAAGCATGAGTTTGTGTTCTTTAAAAGCAAAGAATGAATTCTAGGAACAGCAGAGGTTACGAGAAGAAAAAAAATTATTGAGTGAAAGATAGCTTCTGTCTAAGAGAGACAGAAAGGGGATTAGAAAGTGGGTTGCCCCTATTGCTTTTATTTCTTTCTCTTGTCTAATTGCTGTGGCTAATGTTTCCAGAACAGTATTGAACAGGAGTGGTGACAGTGGACATCCTTGTCTTGTTCCTGATTTTAGCATGAAGGTTTTCAGTTTTTGACCATATAGTATGTTGGCTGTTGGTTTTTCATAGATAGCCTTTATCAAGTTGAGATAAAGGCCATCTATTCCAATTTTCTGCAGGTTTGTTTTTTTTTTATCATGAATGGGTGTTGAATTTTGTTGAATGCTTTTTCTGCATCTATTGAAATGATCATATGGTTTTTTTTCCTTGACTCCGTTAATATAGTGTATTACATTTACTGATTTACATATGTTGAAGCATCCTCGCATTCCTGGGATAAATCTGACTTGGTCAGGGTGTATGATCTTCTTGATGACCCTCTGTATTCTGTTTGCCAGTATTTTGAGGATTTTTGCATCTATATCCATTAGGAAATTGGCCTGTAGTTCTCTTTTTTGATAATTATAACTGATATGTATTGGTTTATCCTTGTCATGACTTTTTCTTTTTGTTGGAGTCTCCCCCTTTGCATTTAATTTCTTGTTGGGCCTGATGGATTCATTCTGCTGGGCTTCCTGGGGTTGTGATCCTCATTGTCTGTTCCTAGGATCTTGTTTAAAATTTTTTGGAGTGCTGGTTTGGTATTAATGAAGTTCCTCAAGTGCTCATTGTTATGAAAATATCTTATTTCTCCATCAATTTTGAAAGATAGTTTTGCGGGGTACATCAATCTGGGTTGGAAGTTGTTTTCCTTTAGGGCTTGAAGTACATCACTCCAAGCTCTTCTTGCCTTGAGGGTTTGTATTGTGACTCTGATGGGCTTTTTGTATGTGATTTGTTTCTAAGATGAAGTTGTTATAAGAAGGTGGAATCAATATGTTCATTACATATTATAAAAGATTATTGAACCATTGTATTTATTTTCAACTGCAAGACTTTTTGCCTCTTTTTAAGTATATGTTTGCAGTATATAGTGATTATATTCATTGAGAGGAGTTCGTACATGTATATAACATTATAACATACCTTAATTCTTTTTCATATTCCCTCTCCCTCTCCCTCTCCCTCCATCTCTACTTCCCTTTCTCATTTGCAAAAATTGTACATATTCATATGGGGTTAAAAAAAGGAACATACTCTCCTTTATGTAACTTTATATTTGGATCTGCCATTGGGATTGACACCCTAGGAATGGAGAACTATGTAGCTTTGTGGCATTTGAATGGAAAGGAAAAAGAAAATAAGTAATAAAAAGAAAGAGTCAAGGTTAAGGTTGTCTACATGTATGTTTACGCAGAGGAATTCAAAGATTAAGTAAATAAAATGAATAACTATGAAAATAGTAAAATCACTGGAGGGGAAAATTGTTGTAAGGTAGAGCACTGGATTAGAACACACTCAGAAGCCAGCTGTGCTACCTGCCATATCACAAATGCCACCCCATATTAGAGAACCTTTGGAAGAGAAGGATCTTACAGTCACATAGTCCAAGTCCCTTGATTTTATATATTTAGAACTAAACCCAGAAGTTAAGGGACTTCCTCAATATTACACAGTCTGTAACAAAACTGGGCCCAGAACCTTATGCTAACGAGTTATCATGTCCCACACCTGTAATGTCAGCATTCTGGGAGGCTGAGACAGGAGAATAATAAGTTCAATCCTTGCCTAGGGAACCTAGCAAATTAGTGAGATGCTATCTCAAAATAAAAATTAAAATAAAATAAGGGCTGTGGATATATCTCAGTGCTGAGAGCTCAATTCCTATACAACACTGTCCAGAGGTGGCCCTGGAGAGGTGACTGGATCATGAGGGTGCTTACACCATTGGGTTATACCATTCATGATTTCATGGGTTAAATGCACTGTTGGGAGTAAGCAGGTCACTGGGAGTGTGACTTTGGAGGGCATTTCTTGTCCTCAGTTTCTTTCTGGTATGGGGTCTTTCACTCTGCTTCTTGACCATTAGGAGGTAACATGCCCTTTCGTCACATTTGTGCCTTGCCACCGTCCTAAATAATGGGGACAGCTGGGGATTTAGCTCAGTTGTTCCGCTGCCTGCCTTGAAAGCACAAGGTCTGGAGTTTGATCCCTGGTACCAAAAAAATGGGGCCAGCTGACCATAGACTGAACCTCCGAATCAGTGAGCCAAAATAAATTTTTCCTCCTCTAAGCTGATTCTCTCAGATATTTTGTTATAGCAACAAAAAGCTGATTAACCCACTTCCCTTTTCTTTCTTCAGGGATTGAGGTGGTATCAGGATGGTGGCTAAGGCCCTGTTTACATGTGAGTCAGAGCTGTGAGGCTACATAGGTGGGAAAAGCAAGTCTGGTATGAGAACTAGTCAAGTGTTATCATAACTGACAAGTGACGCTGAGCCTCCTTGTCTGGAAGATAGTGCAATGGGAGCCTGTAATAGTCTTAAATCTGGACACCCTACCTAAAGGCACAGAAGCTGCCCAACTTTAATGGATAGGTTCCCCATGGGAAGGTGGGTCCAGGATGATTAGAATGGTCAAATTTTGAGAGAAGCTGGAAATCTCATTTTTTAGATTAGACGTCCCAATTTTTTTAATGCTAGAGATTAATTCAACATGCATCAAAAACTACTGAGCCCAAATTTGAAAACACCATTTAGCCACCATTCCATTTTTCTCTGGGGAGGCCTCCCAGGTTAACAGCTTTATCTAAGGCTACATCTTCCTCAGGTACAACCTGCAATCTTTTTTAGCTTCACAAGCACAGGTCACCTGGATGGATTTCTGGGACGCACCTTCATTTCTACCAGTGACACTAACTTGCTCTGAGCATGGATTACTTTGTAGATGGCAGAAGTGACCTGTTCTTGATTCTGTTAAGTCCACTTTCTGAAGGTGGCATTTTCCTGTTAGTGACCAGGTGAGCCATCAAATGTTTTACACTAAAGGTTATAATTTTTTTCAAGTTCTGTCACTAAGGAGTATGGCACCTTAAGTTGTGGACCCCAAGATTCCTGAAACTGGGCTTGCTCAGATGTGTTGCTTTGACACGTATGTGCAGGAGGGTGGGGATAGTGGTTGTATATACACAAATTCCCTGGTCCTACCATAGACTGGAAGTCAGGGAAGGATTGCCAACTACACTAGATAATTCTGATGCAGCTGTTTCTTAAACTAGAAAAGCATTAACTTCTACCAGATATACAAGAAATGACAGTCTAAGAAAGGTCTAACGCTAGAAGGTGCTTAGTTTTATTTGCATTCTTGGGGGAAACACAGAATTCCATGTCCCAGGTTACCCCCTCAATGTATACAGTCCCCAGTCTCTACTGAGCAGCAGACAGAATGTCTAGACAATCCCTGTAGAGCAACAGAGCCAAAGTACTAGCTCCCACCTAGTGTGACTCTCAGTGCCTTGGACAGGGAATAGGCAGAGCCAAGAGTGGTTGAGAGCTAAGCAGAGTCTCTCTTGGCTGGAAAGATCTGTGTAGGAGTCTAAGAAAGAAAAACTGAGCAGCTGTTAGAGATGGATTAAAGTTCAAAGAAGTCTTGGACCAGACAGACCTGGTAAGTAAGCAGCAGGACAAAAAGTCTGAGCTCACAAATTCAGGGCAGAGCAGGTTCTTCAGGCTTTCACTTCTAGATCCCACCCAGGATGTGACACAGAGCGCCCCCTAGGGGAAGCTAAGTGGACAGAGGAATGATGTCAGGTGCCTGAGGCTGTGGTTCTCTGGCATCGTAGGCCAGAGAGGGAGGCTAAGGATGCAGTGCCTTCCTGCAGGTGCCAGGCATACCTGGTCCTGCTCAGCCCTTTTCAGATTTGCTGTATCGACAAAACGATGATTTCCTTCCCCGTGATGTAGTGGCCACAGTAGATAGCAGCTGCTCAGGGTGGAAGAACTGCCTATAAGTGCCAGTTCTTACCCCATCTTGAGGGGGAAGAGAGAGGACAAAGGTAAGAGAGTCTGGTCTCATTCCCCAAGGGACACAAGGTCCTAGGACCTTTGTTGTTGAGCTCCCCTAGGTGTAACTGCACAACAGAGTAATGGACACTCGGAGCTCCAGAGGCCACCTGGTCCTGAGGAGGAAATGAGTGTTCCTTGAACAGGTCTTTTTCACTGATTACAGCCACTTCATTTTGCTTAGCGAGGAGGAATCACTATGTAAAGGAATCTCACTTTTGTTTAGACTAAGAATATAGATTAAAGCAGAAAACCAAGTCCACAGTTTAACCTTGTAAATAATATTTTTGGAAAGATGGGGGAGGGTAGAATCTTCACAAACAGGAACTGAGGAGCTCCAGGTGCAGAAGGGAGGAAGCAGAAAAGCTCATGGGAGCAAGCAACAGCCAAGTTCACCCAGGCCCAATCCTCTCAGGTGGCCTATTTCTGTTAGGTGAGGAGCTTCCAGTTCCTTAGGCAAAGCTATCCTCAAGAGCCTGAGGGTAGGGACAAGAAATTTTGAAGTTTCTGCTTGTGTCCATTCCACTCTAGGTCTGACCCTGGACTCAAACATCTTTTATTTTCCAGGCAAAACTGTGCCACTGATTTCCCTTCTAGCATAGGAAGCCCCCAGGACCCCTTCTGAAGACAGCATCTCGACAAAAGCAACACACTTCGGACTCGCATTGTGCTTGGCAAAGGACTGCATGCACCCCCAGTGCTTTCCCCCTTAGCAGAGCTTCCTGCCGACTTTGGGGTTGGCAAGAAATATGGGCTGCCCACTCACCCATGGCTGCAGGCTCCAGGTCCACAAAGATAACCCAGGACACGTGCTTGCCAGCCCCTGCTTCATTAGAGGTGGTGTTGAAAGAGTCATCATTGTTCCCCAGGGTCTCACTGCTGTGCATGGTGCCATCAGGCTGGATGTGGTGCCCCAGGCAGAAGAGCTTCCTGAAGGTGTTGCCCATCTGCACCCCAGCCTGGCTTACGTGAATGGAAGTGCACTCATGATGGTGGTGGCAGTGAGCAATGGGGGGAGGGGGAGGGGGGCGAGGCCTGAAAAGCCTTGCCTTGGAGCAGCCTATCTTTCCTTCCAGAAGCCTGAAGTTGCTGTATTATCTGGTCTGAAACCCAAAAGACTGGCCAAGTCTCCTTACACCTGAAGCCAAGCCACCCCAGGGCTTCATTTCCTTTCAGTTGCTCAGGATTTAAGAAGAAAGTGGCTGTTAATACAATCCCAATCAAAATTCCAACAGCATATCTCATAGAAGTAGAAAAATGAATCCTAAAATTCACTTGAAACCAGAAAAGACCTAGAATAGCAACAACAACAAAAAAACAAAAAGACCTAAGCAACAAAGGCAAGGCAAGGGGCATCACAATCCTACTTGAAATTATACTACAAAGCTACTGTGATAAAAACAGCATGGTACTGATACAAAAACAGACCTGAGGATCAATGAAACAGATTAGAAGATGCAGAAAGAACTTCAGACATACTCAGCCACCTCATCTTTGACAAAGGAGCCAAACACCCTCACAGGAGGGATAGATAGCCTCTTTAATAAATGGTGCTGGAAAAACTGGGTTTCCACTTACTGAAGATTAAAACTAGACCCATATCTTTCACCATGCACTAAACTAAAATTAAAATTCATCAAAGATCTAAATATTAAATATTAAAGATCTAAATATTAAAACAGAAACACTTAATCTGCTGGAAGATAGATTAGGTAGAACTTTTGAAGGCACTGGTATAGGCAAAGACTTTATAGACAAAACCCCAATCACACAGGAACTATCACAAAGAATCAACAACTGGGATCTCATCTTATTAAAAAGATTTTTCACAGCAAGAGAAACCACCAAGAGTGAAGAGACAATCCAAAGTGTGGGAAAAATTTTTTTGTCAACTGTTCCTCAGAGAAAAGACTACTTCCTAGACTATATAAAGAACTAAAAAAAGATCAACCCCCCTCAAATTTAAAGACCTAATTAAAAAATGGGGATCTGAAATGAATAGACACTTCTCAGAGGAAGAAATATAAATGGCAAATAAATATATAAAAAGTGTTCAAATCACTGATCATTCCAAAGATGCAAATTAAAACAACCCTAGAAAGAATGGCTGCTGTCAAGAAATCAACCAATAACAAATGCTGGCGGGGCTGTGGGGAGAAAGGAACCCTTCTCCATTGTTGGTGGGAGTGCAGACTGGTGCA